CACAGAAGTCACTTTTAAACTTTCTCTTAGTCAATGAATTTGCTTGACCAACTTGAACCCGCTGTGAAATCTGTGTGAGGAAAAATTTTGCCATCATGCAAAATCCCAGATCACATGGATTGTTATTGAAATTACTGGATTTCAATTCAATCTGAGTTTGACTTTTGGTTGGTTTTGCACTGTTCTCTGTTCTGTTTCTTGTTTCTTTACTGTTTGCTACCATTGTTACTCATTAGTTCTTGCTTTGATTTAATCACACCTGTCATGTTCCACCCCTCATTATTTTGTGTAGATCTAGCCCTCAGTTTGTGCTTAAGTTCGTCCACTATCATCAGTATTTTATGGTTGTTCTATTTGTGGTTTTGAAGATTTCTGAAGTATTCTGGGTAATTTGTGATTTAGATTTTTGTTCTTTAATAAATTACTGTCGCACCTAAATCCAACTCTTTTTCATCCCCACGCCAACCACTGGATGACACAGTAAAGGGGAAGGTTTGTTTTAGTGAATAATGACTTAAATTTGTATCTGTTTGTTTTAATTTTTATCAAATCGCTTTGGAATATAGTCATATTGGCTACTTTTAAGGTGTTTTTAATTATTTTTGAAGCTTGACAGCCCTTGGTTAACCTTCATTGTCACTGTATGGAAAATTACAAAAAAAAAACCAGCATGAACATTCTGCTGAATGTCATACAGGTTTGCAGTGACATGAGGGTGCGTAAATGATATCAAAATTGTAATTTTGGTTGAAACCCGGGTTCTCATAATGGCTCATCTGACACTTTGCAAGCTGCTTCTGTGAGTGCTTATATCGTACAGAGAGAACTAAATCTTTTTCCAATCCATTTTCAATTGCACCAATTTAATACATTGGTTAAAACTGATTAATAAACAGAGAGGCAAGTGTTTAAAACAGGGGCTGAAACAATGAAGATCAGTAAGAGGGTGTTAATTCTCAGGCCAGAACCCAAAGAGATATAATGAGCAGGTACCCTGACGAGTCTCTCGCACTTCATCCGTATGCTTCCTCTTCTGTTAATTTAATAAAAACCACTCCAGGACACGCTGATTGCCGCTGATTACAATTGCATGTCGCTTTGATAATAGCGGGCCTCCTTCAGACCAGATTAGCAAAACCAACAGACGTCAACAGCGGCGTCAAGAGAAAAGTCAAAGCAGAAATGCAGCACCCAGGGTGTGTCGTAGACCTTGAGGATTGATTGAAAGATCAAACTAGCTTTCCCCTAAACACAAAAAGGAGAAATAATCGGAGCGTCCATCCATTTTGATTGCACAGTGTTTTGCTGGCCACTCCATTATGGATCCAGCTGCAACCCAATTCCCATTAGATGCAGATCTGTAAATCCCTGCGGTTGAGGAGTGTGTGAGGACAGTGGCTAAAGATCAGCCCTTTATTCTGTTGAGCTGAGGACTGAATCACAGTCGACTGACGGATTTACTTCTATTCCCTGCAATAGTGTTTTAGCACATTATTCTGTCCTGCAGTTTTGAGATCTAGATCTAAATCAAGAAACCATTAACTCCGCAATACAGGCCTGAACTTAATATTGTGTTTGACCCTTTTTCGCTCTTCTTTGCATTTGCATTCATGGCCGTTGTCAGGAGAAACTACCAGGAACACCTGATATAAAGAAAGAATCTGTTTGTTCATTTAATTTGCTGACCTTAGATGCTTTTGTACATATAAACATTCTTGATTTTGGCTTTGTGTATTGACCTGCATTGCTGAATCATGGAACCCAAGTGCTGTTCTCTGTGATGGCAAAAGCTGATGACATCAGCACAATCGCTAAATGATGGTTACTTCAGTCCATCGACCCACGGATCCCCCTTAGGGGAATCATGGGACTATATAGGGTAATAAATTCCTATAGATTCCTACTATAATCTAATTATGCTAATTATGGTCGTTCACTATGAACAACCAATAATCTTTATGATCATACATTTTTTATGAACCTGGAGGCAAATTCTTTATTAAATTAAATATGTACAATAAAAAAACACTATAAATAGCCAATGCAGCTTTTTCTAAATGCAATATAATTGTCATACTAAGAAATTAGCATTTCTATACTGTATAGCTGAATAATAATGCAACTCTGAGAGGAAGGAGATGATTTTCTTTTTTTTCTTTTCCTTGTATATTTATTTTTTATGTTTCATTTTCAGGATGTGGCAGTCTTCTTGGCACTTATGTCTGGGATACAATTTTTTGACAGAGATGCAAATTAGCATGTCTCTCAGTATCATCTGTCCCAGTAGATGGGAAAGTGATGTCATCATTGACTCCCTAAGGAAAGCACAAGAATGTTGCTTTTGGAATAGCTCACCTGAAAAAAAACAACTTTTTTTCTTGCAGTTAGGTGCATTTCAGATAAACAGTCTACCATAATGCCAGGTGCACGCTGATTAGAAATGCAGTCCAATGTCCCAAAATACATCAGTATGGCCACTGTTTTCAAAGAAAGGCGCTGTAGCTGCTGTACTCCAGCAGAGCCAATATTTGGATTTGTATATCTGGTTATGGATCTGTAACAATCTCGAAATTATTCGTATCTGTATCCGAGTAAAACCGTAAGTGGGCGGGACTTTAACTGGAAGTTTGTCTAATTACTTGAGAAGACCGTTTTAAATGTATATCTGTTCCCTTTCATATTTATAATTTAAAAAAATGCTTTGTATAACCCATAAAATGGTTATTTCAACACATTCTCATCCCAAGGCGTCATCTAACTGACACTTTTGACCATGCGTCAACATGCCGACGCACATGGTACCCCTTAAGCGTCAATATGAGACGCTCATCCTCGGGCGTCAACTAACTGACGCTTTTGACCATGCGTCTAAATCCGACGCACATGGCACCCTTTAGCGTCAGTTAGATGACGCTTCCGTTATGGGGAGGTTTAGGTCTGGGGTAGGGTTAGGGTTAGACCACTAGGAGGCGCGTCTCATATTGACGCTTAAGGGGTACCATGTGGGTCGGCATGTTGACGCATGGTCAAAAGCATCAGTTAGATGACGCCTTGGGATGAGAACGGGCTGGTTATTTGTATTATAATTATAACATTTATTTAAATATCTTCTAATTGTTGGAGCTGATAGCCTCGTAGGCAGTGCTTCAAGATGCAGTGCGGATGTGCTTCAGGAGACCCGAGTTCCAGTTCCATAATTCTGTGACCCACCGAATTATGTGACCCTAATAGGTGCTATACTGTTTGGAGCTAATCCTAATCCCAACCCTACCGTTATGTGTACGGTCACATAATTCGGTGGGTCACATAATTCGGCACAACACCGGCTTGGGGACCTTTCCCAATGCTAAAAAATAAATATTTAAATATCTTCTAATTAAAACAATAATGCTAAATGTAAAAAAAAAACAAAAAAACGAAATAAAATAACTATTTTCAAGAGGAACTTTGTGTACAGAGTTATGTCAGGACAATCATCCACAACCTCAAATAAGAGGAGTCAGACTCTATAAATAGTTGATTAGAGGACATGGAAGTTGAAAGAAAATATTCAGTGGTTGAAAATTGCTAAAACAACTTTAATTATGCATACAAATGCAAATCTGAACAAATTATAAAGATAGCCTTATTTATAAAGATATACGTAGCCTAACATGCTTGCTGTCTCTGAGAGAGAGAAATAAGTACCCTATCATATCGCGCAAGGTTTAAAACATTTAAATAGATATATCAAGTAGTAGAAAATGTGTATGATGGAGTATCTTAGTTGATATTACTCTTGTCAGAGAGCTGGATTCTGACACCCGCAGAGACGGCAACGTGGCTATTTGATTTGCAATCGTGCTGTGCTTATTTCATAAATTAGTGTATCATATCGTACAAGGTTTACATAATTTAAATAGACATATCAAATAGTAGAAAATGTGTATGATGTAGTATTTTACTTGATATTACTCTTGCCAAGCTCTTTTTGAAGACTTTGTTTTACACTCATTCACTTGTCACACACTCATTATTGCATAGTGGTTTTAGATGTTTATGTATAATATCGTGCTATCCACTGGCTCACCTGTTATCCATCAAACACGAGGAGTGACTGTCTGCCAATTTTTTTTTTCTATTTGGCAGAATTTGTTATTCGTTTTGAAGCCATTATCCATGCCGTTCTGAATAAGGTATTCGGCTTCAGGCACATCTCTTCTGTACTCAAACCGACAACACAGCTTAGCACTCATTAGCTTAGCACTCATTGGCTTAGAGCCTCAGCCAAGCCCTCAGCCAACAACCAGGCGGATTTGTTCTTAATTCAAAAAATAATTGTCATATCATGTATGTCGTCTTGTAAAGCAGCAGATTTTGAGGGAATAGTTATTAGAATACTATATTACAGTTTCATCACTATATGTGTCCGTAAATGCATTCCATTGCATCAGCAGCAAAGAACACAGATGTGACAGCTGCCTTTGATTGCATACTGTAGATTGCTGGTCCACTATAAGAAGTGGGAATATTCCTCCTAACCAAAAATGAGGACTCCTGTTACACTTTATATTATGTTTTGCATTCTAAAAGATGCCTAAAGTCTTTAAGTATTGATCAACAAACTTGTAATGACAAACTTTTTTTTGGTAAATCTGTGTGGGGAAAAAGTAGGATAGTAAGTCCTCTGAAAAAAAGGTGTGTGCAATACTTGATGCTTTTTTGTTTTCCTTAAATGTGACAATAAATTGGCATTTTTAGCACCGCTTTCTTTTCTCTTCTCTTCTGACAAGAAACTTTTTATTCAGCTTTCATTCACCACAAACCCTCAATAATTGACATCTCTCCGTTTTCAGGTATATCAAAGTTTCCTGTGTTTCACCACTTTTAAGGGCTCTTTGTATGAATATATTATTAGTTGCATGAAAGACTTCATGTTGTAAAAATGTATGGATTCATAAATATTTTAGCATGCTTTTTGACTTTTGTGATCTTGAAAGCCACAGGTGTAAAACAATTACCTGTAAAAGCCTGGCAAAGGGTTTGGGATAAGGAAGCTTTTTTCCAGATCTCGAAGGACGTCATTGAGCATGCGTAAATGGGCTGGATCCCTCTCTTTGGGGTCATTGGCAGGACGCATGACCTCAGATTGGAAGAAGGCTGAGCTGTCCCTCAAAGATGCAGCCAGGTTCAGCAGGTCCGACCGACTCAGTGGGTCATCTAAAAAAAAAAATATATATATATATGAATGATATATTAATTACTGTGTCAATCCATTAAAACGAATTAATCAAACATTTTTCTGAAATTAACCATGATTAATTGCACCTAACATTAAAATGTATAATATTGTTTTATATTGTAATACATATTTTCACACTGAATCTCCAAATTAATGTAATGTACAAAAGCCTAATCCTGTTTTAACTTAAGCCCTGTCTGTGAAACCGGGCCTATAATTTTTTATTTAAGTGAACTTAAAGGCACATTATGTACGTTTAGCCACAAGAGGTCGGAATTTATAGAAATGTATGTTTCATGTTCCAGTGTTCTTTGTTACAGTGACGTTTGATCACATGATCACACTGCAGTAAGCTAGATCGATATTAGAATATCATATTAATAAAAGCTGGATGACTTGTGTTGCTTAACGGAATGCAATTCATTTAAAAACTTTGAAAAGTGGAGAAACTGCTGTTTTACTGTTACTACAATTAACACTCTTTCTGATTATAGGAATTTTGTTACAATGTCAAAGTCTTTTTCACTTTGGAAGAATTTAATGCATTCTTAAAAGTTTGGCGCAATTGCTAGGCATTGGACATCATCATTTTAGTCAATTTTAGGTAGAATAACACAGGCGGCCAAATTGGGCTTAATGCATTGCAGCTGCTATTAACCTCACCTTTCCATCCCTCAAAGCAGCTTTTATCCCATTTCACTTCATCCTCATAAACCTAATCATCTCAGACACACCCATCGGCTCTGTACTTGACTTCACTTGTTGTTAGCTGCAACTGTTTTGACAGCTTAAATGCGATCCTCAAAACTCCAGCAGAGCTCTGGCCCTCAAAATGAAACAGTCTAGTATTTAACGGAAAATATTTGGGCTAAATAAAGACGCACTCCTGGCATACCTCCATATGCCCGAATTCAGAATCTAACAAATGAGTCAAACCTTCCAACCCCTCTATTGTAGGTTAAACTGATCCTCAGTTTAAAGAGGTTGAATTCAAAAGAACACATCAAAAAATTCTGACATGCTTCTGCTCTGTCTTTCAACTTGCTTACTCAAGCATGCATTAATCATGTGTTGAGCTGGAGCTGTTAAGAACTGTACATCTTCTCGAAGATAATGCCAGAGCTGTGACAGGTGGGTGTGCATTTAAACAGGCTAGTATGAGGTGCCGTCTAGGGCTTAAATTAAACTTCAATCACACAAACATACATGAAACACTTGCATGCACATATACTAAGTAGGCACACATACATCTATACTACTGAATGCTCAAACAAATACATATGAAATGGACACCGACACACCTAGTCACTCACACATACAAACACTCCGTGCACATAGACTTATCAAATGCTATGTCGTTCACTGTGTCGCAAAGTTTAAGATTTCACACAGCGCACCACGAAAAAAATCGCTTGAGATTTTTGAGGCAACAGTTTCACATTTGTACTGTATATTGCTTAGCTAACCATGTGGTACCGTACTCTAATAAGCATACCCCTTTAAAAAAGAAATGCGCTTAATTGTATTGAATGTGCACTTGTAGTGCACTTGCCAGATCTTATATGAAACCCATCCTACTCACACATTCGACACATTATAACAATTTCAATCTAGTTGTGACCTCAAACTGGTAACCTACAACCCAGTTGCGCTGTTGATATCTGCGCAGGTAGTAGACGCAGGAAGATGAATCAAGCACTGAAATGGGAGGAGAGCATCAGGTGGTACTCCGGCGAAAAAAACAGCTGGACAGAAGAATTTAATTTCATATCTCGAAGCCATATCTCGACAATGCCCACGCCTTTTGCAAAGTGTGTCGCACTGATTTAAATATCGACACGGTAGGAAAAATTACTCAGCACATTAAATCACAACGGCACAATCGCACAGCGGAGGCACAGAAGGGCACACCGGCCATTACATGCACCAATGTTTAACTGCTGTGCAGTGTTTCTGTTTATGTAATAACATTTGTAATAGTAATAAAAAATAAATAAAAAGAAACATGAATGAGTTACGTTATTATCGTATTATCGTTATGAATCGACGAAACACTCGGCTCCGAAGAGAAAGCTTGAATGTGCAATGCAAGCACGCTTCCTTATATACCCATTTTGCAGGGCAGGGTGTGCGATGCAAATCTTGCACGCCAATGTGCTTTGGCTCATTTAGTCTCTCAGACGAGATCCCAATTCGTCAGTTCAGTTCTGACGTACCATTAAACGTGACTGACTCATAGGGAACTATAATTACACTGTAACAAGGACACTTTAAAAAAAGTAACTTACTCTAAAGTATACTAAAATGTACTAAAATGTCACAAGAGTAAAAATACAACATACACACATATATTGGATAAAATTAGGAATTGTAATTACACTGAACTATTTTTAATCAATACCTATTAAATTGAATAAAATACCCCCCCCCCCCAAAAAAAAAGCTAAACACAGAGTGTTGGGCATTATTTGAGAATATGTGCTTATTATTCTTATTATTTATTCTTTGGAGGATATTCAAAACTTTAAGCAAACACAGAAAAAAGCTAAACTTTTCTACAAACTTCAACACAAACTGTCTTATTCTTTCTGTCTTTCTTTGCAGAATGAAAAGATCTCCCTGCAGGAGGATTGCTGTAACTTATCACTCAGTGTAACACAGACAGAAGAGGACCAAGTGAAAATGACATGAACCCAACAGAGGTTTACAATTTTCACAAATGACGAAAACCAAGCATATCACATACATATCACTCCAGTGTTCCTGTGTATGTTTGTGCCAAGGGCTGCAGACAACCACTGCAAGAGAGACGTAGGAAAGTAACCATAAGACACACATGCAGGTATGAAATTACTGTACACTGTAAACCCGAATAAGTTTGCACAACTCAATCAGTTGCCTCAAATTTTTTAAGTTAAGAAATTCAAACTTTAAGTAAGCAGAACTGACATATTTTTATTTTGTATTTGTACATTTGAAGTATTCTTAACTTGAAATGTTTGAGTACACTAATTAATTCATTTAACTTAAAATTTCATGTAATCTCAATGTGAACACTTTTATTAGTATAAACTTAGCTAGCTTTAACAAGCTAGTTTGCTAACATACTATTTTGTTAACATCTTAACAATAGTATGCTATACAGTAACACTTGCAGCAATATAAAGGTTTTATTTGCTCTCAAATCAAGCTCATGCACCACTTGTCACCATGATGGTAACTAAACCAACATTAACAGAAATTCTTCTAAATTAGCATAACGAAACATTAATCATTACTAAATCACCCGCTTAACATTAATCTTGCACAAAAAAACATTGTATTACACTTAATTTTAGCATTTACTCTCCCTTTCGAGTGCCATCGGCAAAGCATGCTGGGAAATATACATCCCAGCCGTTTCAGTTAAACTAAAGTTCGTCTAAATTAAAAGAAATAATTTCATAAAACTCAAAACAATGAAACAGTTCAGTTTACTTAAAATATATCAATTCTGTGAACTTGAAAGAAAAAGAAAGTGCTAAATACTCATAAAAGTTAATTTGACTGAACTAATTAGTTTAATTTAAGTTTTTCCTACTCAAACCAATTAAGCATTTTGAGCGTTAGGGTTTACAGTGTAACATACTATCACATTGGTTATATAAAATTTTATTCATATATATATATATATATATATGTGTGTGTGTGTGTGTGTGTGTGTGTGTGTGTGCATACTACAGATATGTTTCTTAGGTGGCATTTACAAACAGCTTGACGGAGCTCAAAGGAATGGCTCTGAATGCAGGGATCTCAAGATGCTTTTTAAAAAAAGTTGGACTATGTACTGACACGCTGTTTTAAAAATGCAATGCTTTCCACAAAAGCTTAAAAAAAATCAGTGTGAGACGTGATGCAACACCTCAAAAATATCTGTCTGATTGTGTGTGGCTGCAAAAGCGGTGTTTTACAACAGATGATTTCTTTTTCACAAATGATTTTAATGTGCAAACTATCGTACGGCCAAAAGACAACAGGATGTCAGCTATTTGAAGCAACACCTCTAAAAGTATAAGAGGGCGCCTGTGATACACGGCAACAGCTTTGTCTTCAGGAGCCATTTGTTTAGCTATAGCGTAGTTAAGAATCCTAGCAAGCATTTCAAGAAGTGTGTGCCTCTTTGTCCCAGCTTTCTGACACCTGACACCACAATTATATTTAGATGTTTGCTTCCAAAATGTTTGTTTGTAGCAGCAAGAAAACTGATTTGCTGTCTACAACATGGAGTAACATCCGTGAATGTCATTTACAAATGTTACTAGGCAACCAGTAGTGGGAACTCCCAAAGCGACCTCACCGCCAGCCACTGGCGACATGCAGCGACAAAGTCACTGGTAGCGTGAATGCAGCATGAGGCCATAATCACTCTTCCCGCATGAGCCTTCTGACTTTCTGTTAGTAGCTGTAGTAAACTACCTTTTCAAAAGAGAATAGCTTAACTTTGTAGTGATAACTACATTTTAAAGTAGCCTCGCTTCACCAATAACAGCCTCATCAACTTATCTTGCAGCAAGTAATTTGTATGATTTCAGATTATGTCTGGCAGTCTTCATTCTTCACATTGCTGAGTCACTCTAAAATAATCTGAACATCAATGAGCTGTCTAAATCTTAAGGGAACAAAATATCTCAAAGGTTTCAATTAGCCATGACTCTTTGATCTCACTCAATACATTATTCCTCATGAATACTGTCATTTCATGTGCCTCTGAAACTCCTACCACAGCATAAGGAGAGAATGTCCTAACCACCCTTCATCTACTTGCCCCATTCTTTATACACTAGTGTACACTACAAATCAAACTCTGTAGTAAATTTGCTTATTTTGATCTTTAAGACCTATATCTAAATGCTTAAATGCTTCCCTATAAACAGTAATATTGTGAAATATTATTACAATTTAAAATCATGACTGTTTTCTCAGGATTCTTTGATGAATAGAAAGTTATACACAAACAGCATTTAATTCAAATAGAATTCTTCTGTAACATTATCGTGTCTCTACGGTCACTTTTGATTAATTTAATGCATTCCTGCTGAATAAAAGTATCAATTTCTTGAAAAACACACTGACCCCAAACTTTTGAATGATACAGTGTATGTAATATTTATTATGGTCAGGGAATTCTAGTTATGCTTCTACCCACTCTTGATTGAGTCGGTGCCCATGAACAATCAAGACTTTATATATGAATCTACAACGCATTCTCATCCTTTGGCGTCATATAGGCGACGCCATATGACATTTCGTCGAAATCTTACGCACATGGCATCCTTTAGCGTCAATATAACACGCATTGTTATGGGTAGGTTTAGGTCTGGGGTAGGGTACGGTTATGACGCCTTGGGATCTGGGTCTCATATTCGCGCTAAACGATGCCATGTGCGTTGGATTTAGACGCGCGTCACCTGTATGACGCCTTGGGTTCTGCGTCTCATATTGACGCTAAAGGATGCCATGTGCGTAAGATTTCAACGAAATGTCCAAAGCGTCACATGTATGACGCCAAAGGATGAGAACGGGCTGGAATCTACTGCATAAGCACTGCATTTAAAGGGGTCATATGATGTGGTTTCTTGTTACAAAGCTCAAAGTGTAAAACCTAAAGAGATATTCTTTATAAAAGTTAAGGCTCAGCCACTCCTTCCTAAAATGCTTTGTTCAAACAAGCCCCCACAAATCTAAGTAAGTATTTGGGGGCAGAGTTTCATAACACCGCTCACATATATAGGCCTATGCAAAGAAAGAAGGCGTAACTTTTATTCTCGCTGTATTATTAGGCTTGTTTGAGATGAGCAAAATCTGCGCAGAACTGATCACCGGTGATCACCGCGAGATGCATTCCGGTTAGAAATGTGTCCGAGTGCGGTCTGCCTTGCTCTGATGTCATGAAACTCTCGCGACCGCAAGGCACACGTGGCGGATTCTGCAGTCGAGACTCGAGCGCAGTTGCTCTCCACCGATTGCGCTGATAAAAAGCATGATGGGAAACGACTTTTTGACAACACAGCTTAATGCTCATTGGTTTAAACAACCGGTGTTGTTCTGTTTTAAAATGTTTGTTTTTAAAACTCTGATATCATGTTTTATGTGTGTTCTGCGCATTTTTCGGAGGACTGTTTCCAGAACCTGCAAGAGTACAAGGTCGGCTGTGCACAAAGACTGATACTAAATACAGTCTGGCGCTTCTGACAATTAAACCAAATAGACAAAATAATGTTCTTTTTAGAACTATCATATGACCCCTTTAACTGACAAAGAAAGTCAGTACAGTGACATCACAGGTTTTACCAAAACAATGACATTTGGAGTAGACTTCATTCCTTCAAACTCCAAATACCGAACAGACTGAACAGAACAGTTATATCTGTCAGGAAACAGCTGGGAGTGCCATTCCATCACCAGTATGTGAAATAATGATGAGATAAAAAAAATATTTCAGATTTTTTTGCTTTCCAAACAGTGACAGTGAAAATAACTTCACGAAGCATCTGTGGATGATGTGGGATTTTCTCAGGCATGCAATGCCGCTGCATCCAGTACAGTAAAACAAAAGATCGGACACGAGTGTTTGGTGCTTGTCTGATGAAATATCAATACTGCACAGCATTAAGGGCTTTGCAGTCTGTCTTCATGTGGCAAGATTATGTGGCAATTACATTTCTCACCTGTCCTCTTCTGTACGTTCATGAATATTTAAACACAAAGGCGCACCGCTTTGACGACGTTAGAGAACAGATTCAGAGGGGCAGCTTTGAATGTCTCTCGGCAGAGGTGAAAAACAGTCATACCTGCGAGGCACCGTATAATGATTTTATGTTATTGAATATCTAAAATCCAGTTCTGCAAGTCTTTGGCTTTAATTTCTGAATGTTCTGTACATTTTCAGTCAAAAGCTAATTACTACCCCTGCCCTGGGTTTATTTTGCTTTGATGAAGTATAAAGTGTTTTCCTCTAGTGGGAATGTTGTCCGTTTTTTGTTCCCCCTAAAGATTTTTGGTGAAAAATGCCAGACTGATGTCCAGTCGGGTCTGAAGCTTATAATCCTATTTGATCTGAGCACCGGGTGAGCCGAGAAATGATTTGCACCCATTTGTATTTTACAAATGCAGAAATCAAGGTCATTCTTCCAACGCTCCGGTAAACTGTGATGGAAAGATCGATATGTCCACCCAAACAGATGATCTCTCCATAAATCATCTTTGGAAGGAGTGAGTGGTGACACAGAGCTGGCTCAGCCTGTAATGCTTGAGTTACATCCTCAAACAAACTTCCAGAAAAGTCCTGCCAGTTATAAATTGATGAGGAACACCATTTTATTTTATTTAATTTTTATGTAAATTGTAAAAAAAAACGTACGAAAGGTGCATTCTTACCTTTGAGTTTGTTCTGAACATCCAGTGCGATATCCAAAGGGTAAAATAGAAGAACGGGATCTGTAGCAAGTCGCAGGATGGCCTCAGCTGTTATCTAAAGCGGCAAAAGACAAAACGGTCCATTAACAAGTCAGTTTGGATCCTTATTCTTTGAATAACAAAAAAATGAAAAATATAACATAAATAAGTACATTTATAAAGGTTACAATCAATACTGTTGCAAAAACACCTTAAATAAAAACACTCCTATTTAACTCAAACATCATATGGCTTTTTCTTTTTAAAAATAAATGCTGTTCTTTTGAACTTTCTATTCATCCTTCACTCCTGAAAAAAATAAATAAATACAGGAAATATGTTTCTTGAGCAACAAAGCAGCCGATTAGAATTATTTCTAAAGGATCATGTGACACTGACAACTTTGCCATCACAAGAATAAATTACATTTTAAAACAGATTAAAAATAGACAACCGTTATTTTAAATTGTAATAATGTTACACAATATTACTGTTTTTATTTATCAAATAAGGGCATCCTTGTTGAGCATTAGTGAGTTAAAAAAAAAAAAAAAACATTAAAAATCAAACAAAGTTGAAAAAAGAAGAAGCAAATATTGCAACTGAACTTGATAGTCAGTGATCATAACATATTTATTTTATGAAAAAGGACACACAAGAAAAAAAAAGTGTGGATGAGGGTGAAGTTGATCTTGTTACCTACAATAATTGTGCAACTTAATTGAAGATACTATTAAATAATTTATCTAGCCATCCACTTGGCTCACAAATCTGGCACTTTAGGCAAACTTTCTTATTCTTTTGCATGACGTTGTTTTAGCAATGGATTGTTCTACAGCAAACATCATGTTTTAAGTGTTGAAATTGTCCGTGAGTGCTCGCAATGCTTCTTTCTAATAGGCTCAGATAACAAGAGCATTTTTTAAAGCTGCCAGTCCTTCAATACTGAACTATAATTATTGGTTGCATTCGGTCTTATCTTTCTGCCTTTCCATTGATTTTCACTCTCTTGTTGGATTCCGTTGCTTTCCGCCCCAGACACTCCGCATTGGCATCTGATGGGTGATTGTAACTTGCAGACAGCAAGATCCGTACTGAACTTTTCCTGCATCCACAGTTGTCACGGATCAAACATTATAGATTCTCCTGATGTCCCTTCATGTTCTGCATGAGGTTAACACATGGGCTGGGAGACTGCGCAGCATGAACACGTATCAACTGTGGTTTTATCATATGGTGTCTCTTCTGCCTGACCTCTCCTGAACTTTATGAAAACTACAGTTTGCTGGCTGGCAATATGGGGGTGATTTTCCTCCCGGGACGGACCTGTGAAAGTTCACCGTAACACACGCCTCAAAGGAGGATTCAGTCTCTGACCACTGACCCTGCCTAAACGAATTAGCCCCAGGGCAGGAGTTTGCTGGCCTCCCACGAGATCAGGTGATAAAATATACAGCGAACACAGGACAGCTTTCGTATGATACTATATTTCCGTTGTCGGGCAGAAATTTTTCATAAATCATTACTTTTGGTCACCCTTTACATCTGCCTGTGGGTTTGCAAATATTGAACTAATTAAAAGTATTAATAAGAGCTTGTGACTAAACCTAAAACTGTCGATAAAACCTCATAACTCCACCCTGCCTCTATTGTGAATGAAATGCCACATGCAGTTTGGATCGTCTCTGCTTGTTTGCAATGCAAGGGTAAATAAAGAACTGGTGCTTTGAATAAGTACAACATTTTCTTTTTCAAGAATCACTAGAATCATATGTATAAAGGCTAATGTTTTGTGTATTTGAGGAGCGGAGAAGAGTGTCTTAATCTAGAATTTGTCATTGAGCCATAATCAATACTGTAAATAGCCTGTGCGTAACACTTCATCTTTAATAACATGAGATTTTAGCCAAATTACACAAAAAACGAAGCGGCCACATAGATACAGTAAACTTTATAACCCGTGTAAACATGTTTTTAACAGCATATGTACTAAGTGCTACGAAGGAAGGCAGTACCACCAATACTAATACGTCTATCGATGTCTCTATTCAATGGAATTTTTTTCTGGGGATGAAATGAATAGAAAATATAGTTCCCTTTCGAACGGTCACTTCGTATTGCGTAGCTATACGCAGTGGGGAAACTCCTTTTCCTCGATTTACTGAAACCTATATGTAAAACGCATTTGCAGCTGCACAGCCAGCACACTGAGCGTCTGGCACGCTCATAGGCTGTGCTGCCGCAACTGCACAACCAATGGCGCGGGCGACTCTGACCTGCAGCCAATGAGCTAGCTCAACGTCAGAGCCCATCAAGGGGGTGTGGCTTAGCCTATAAAAGACCCCCGAATTCGCCATTATAGCAGATTTTACTCCTTCAGCGACAGTATACATGTCCCTAAACCTTTTACTGTGAATTCGCCGTCGAACAAGCCTTTCAGCCTGAGCGAGCTTCTCTTCAGCAGACTTCGCCTGCAAGCCGTCGTCTCCTGACGCCGTCTCACCTGTGGCTATCCGGCGACATCCTATATCCTTTCTATTATTGTGTTTGTTTCAGAATGCCTCGTTCATCCTGCGCCACGTGCGGAGGCCGTCTGCACGAGGCAGACCAACACGAGAGCTGCGTTTCCTGCTTGGGTGTCGACCACGCGGAGAATGCACTCTCTGTCGGCGGATGTGCGGCCTGCGACTGCATGCCTATCTCCGTGCTGCGCAATCGGCTAGCTCTCTCTCGAGACGGCGATGCCGCTTCAACCACGCTTCCCATTCCGAGGAAGAAGAAGCGTCGCAGCCAACGGCAACCGGAGGGTATGGAGATTGGTGAACGCACGCCGGCCGCGTCCCCGCGTGCTTCACTTTCTCCGACTCAAACGCCTTCACCGGTCCTGTTCACAGGAGACCAGCGCCCCCCCCCCCCCCCCCCCCCACACGTGGCGGGCCTCGTCTCCTTCGGCGGATCTCTCGAGCGCGACGACAGCATATCCATCGCCGCTTCTGAGGACGAATGGCCGGGCTCTCTCGACCCCGTCTCCGCTTCTCAATCTGTGGCCAGTGGATTAGCGACCAGGACAAACTCCGAAGCCGAAATGCTTCGGATCCTGACGAAGGCCGTCGCGGACCTCGAGCTAGAGTGGGCCTCGCCCGAGGAGCCGCCTCGTAGTCGGCTGGATGGATGGTTTCTGGAGGGGCGCCAGCAGGCCCCGCGTCACAAACCGGCGCCATTTTTCCCCGAGGTCCACGAGGAGCTAACCAAGGCCTGGCGCGCTCCATACTCAGCACGTGTGGGATCTGCAGTTTCCGCGACGCTCTCCTCCGTGGATGGCGCAGCGGAAAAGGGTTATGAGTCTTTGCCGCCCCTCGAAGAGGCCGTGGCAGCTCATCTTTGCCCGAGCACTGCAGCTAGCTGGCGAGCTAGAGCCGCTCATCCCAACAAACCCTGCCGAAACACCTCAGCCCTCGCTGGACGCGCGTACTCCGCCTCCGGTCAGGCTGCATCGGCCCTGCACACGATGGCCGTGTTGCAGGTCTACCAGGCCAAACTCCTCCGGTCCATGGACGAGACTGGCCCGGACCCGGAGACCTTTCGAGACCTGAGGAGTGCTACAGACTTAGCGCTGCGTGCTACTAAGGCTACAGCACAGGCCATCGGAAGAAACATGGCGAGCTTGGTCGTGCTCGAGCGCCATCTTTGGCTTAACCTCACCGAGATTAAGGACGCCGACAGAACGAGGTTTCTCGACGCCCCGGTGTCCAGCTCCGGGCTCTTCGGCCCGGCGGTGAAAGGATTCTCGGAGAGGTACACAGAGGCACAGAAAGCGTCCCAGGCCATGCGACACTTCTTGCCGAAACGTTCGAGCTCCGCGACCAGCAAGCCCAAGCCGCCGCCTTCGCCTCATCCAGCCAAGCCGGTGAAACAGGCCTCTCAGCCCCGCCCTGCGGCTGATAGCCAACGCCAGCCAAGGCCCGCGAAGCGCTACCCGCTCCCCAGGCGTCAAGGCCCTCGACCCAGCGCCGCGGCCGACCAGGTGCCTCCGAAGTCGTCCTAGCACGGAGAGGAAAGAGAGAGGGCTCGTGTCTCGCGCTAGCCGGACCACCCTCGAAAAAACCGGCAAAACTTCCCACAGCTCCCTGTTCAGTTCAGGCGGCTGGGGATTTTATTATTGTAAACAGGCCCGCAGCAGTGAGCGCGTCTTTGCAAACAAACGCCGTTTTCACGGCGACCCAAATAAAGCACAAAAAGAGTATGTTTCACAATCACATCACACGGGTTCACGGTCCCCCTTCACTAGGCGGCCCCCGCCCTGTTGTAAGACTGAAATCCCCCCGGGCAAAAGCCGGTATAATCAGTCAAACACTCAGTATGTGCACAAATCACAGTGTAAGGGTATCAGGTCCCCCTATGTTAGGCGGTCCCCCCCATTCAGTGTGTCAAGCCCTAGCCACACGGGCGTTGGCCTGGCAAGCCATCCCTGGTGTGTCGAGTTGGGTCATAAACACTATAAAGCGAGGCTACTCGCTCCAATTCGCTCGCAGACCCCCGAAATTCCAGGCGGTTATCGAGACATCGGTGAGAAGCGGCGTGGGTCACGTGCTTCGCACCGAAGTTCAGGATTTATTAGCAAAAGGAGCGATAGAGTCAGTCCCTCCCGCGCTAATGTATTCGGGGTTTAACAGCCGCTATTTTCTAATTCCAAAGAAAGACGGCGGGCTCAGACCCATACTAGATCTGAGACGTTTGAACAGGGCTCTCATGAGACGGCCTTTCAGAATGTTAACACTCAAACAAATTCTCGCGCAAGTTCGCCCGGGGGATTGGTTTGTTTCAATGGATCTGAAAGATGCATACTTTCATATTCAGATCGACCCTCGTCACAGGCCATTCTTGAGATTCGCCTTCGAGGGGAGGGCATATCAATACACCGTTCTGCCGTTCGGTCTGTGTCTGGCACCCCGTACATTCACGAAATGTATGGATGCAGCGCTCTCCCCGCTAAAAAGCCAGGGAGTGCGTGTGCTGAATTATCTCGACGACTGGCTGGTGCTAGCGCAGTCGAGAGACGAACTAATAATTCACAGG